AATATAAGTGTTCAAGTTGAGAGAAATATGCACGATTGGAGTTTTTTTATGCCCAGATCTAGGTAATAATCAAGTAGTAAATAGAGATTCATTATATGCCTTTTTAAAAAGATCATTATGTCCTTAAATACTTGTATTTGTAATCTAGTATACGGTCACCAGACGTCATTAATGCGTCTGATGTGCTTAAGGAGGGAACTTATAAGAGATTTCCAAGTATAATCAAGGTATTTATAAGCGATTTATTGTTTTCTTTTTAACAAAAATCTAAAAAAAAAAAAAAAAAAAAAAAAAAAAAAAAAAAAACTTTTTTTCATGATATAGGAGCGTTTTGCGCCTGACATTCTGAACGACGACGAAGCTAAAGAGACATTAGAAGCTTTAAATGGTATCATCCAAATACGCATGTTAACACAAGAAATAATACCAGAGTGTATGAGAAACTATAGCATTTCGGACGGAAAAATAAAATTCTTAGTTGATAAAGAATTTGAGGTAATACCTTGAAGGACCTTTGTCGTGATTCTTAAAAATAAACTAACCTGTATTGATCACATTTTAAGGTGGTTTTGACGCTTTATAATATTATGGAAATTAATGAACGTTGGTGGATGGTCGATCTGAAACTTCTCATCCAATCATCGAGTGACAGAACATTCAATGGTATAAATTAATATTTTGTTCATAATATCAAAATTACATTAAATTTACAAAATTTCTTGTTCTCCCAAAATCTTTAGACGTGAAGTTCACATTTCATGAAGATCAATTATTGAGGTTAATGAGAACGATTCAAACTCAGTTTTTGTCTCCACCACAGAAGCCCATTCCAGAAAGAATTACGAGCAGTATGAGACATCCAGCAATTTCCGAGACATCAGAGGTACCTGCTTCACTGCAGACAGCTAAATTCTGTCCTTTGGTCAATTTATATGAATATTTACGTATCCTTATTTTATTTCAATTTAAATTGTTACAATGTATTTATAATAAGTATCCTTAACTATTATGTTATACCAGACAATTACTGTTTACATCTTCAACTTAATATATTGCTTCAACAGGTAATATTTTATTGCAATTCATTTAATGTAATTTATAATCTAATTTATGTTTGATTTTAATAGGCAGTTAATATGCAACAAACGAGATGGACTAATAATTTTGAAATGTTAATGAATGAAGACGAAAGCGTTTTGAGGATATATTATTGGAGGTAAATGATTCAAATGTGTTGTTACTAAATTTATTATTATTCTTCCTCAGGCTAAATTAACTTATAGCAAATCTTTTCCTTAAAGTTCTGTTAAGCATCCTCCGCCAGGTTCGTAATTATTAACTCTTGTATTAATTATATTAACTATATTTATTAAATCATCATATTAACTTTTTTAATTCATAAACAGCACGTCCAAATGTCCCACAAGCGTCGACTTCAAAGTCTTCTGAGGTTAAAAATCACGATATTATTGAAATCTCTGTGATAACTGAAGAATCTGATCGCCCTTTACTTTATTCGGCCAATAAAATCCTTAAAGGAGCACATTGGTATACTGATACAAAGTATGTGAAGCTTGGAACTTTGAACGATACTCGCGGGATTAATTATCCGCATAAAGTTTTACGTGTTCGTTGGACTGGTTTGAAAGGTTATGAAGCTAATGAATGGATAGTTGTTGATTGGAAATTTGTAACCATTTTTTGTTTTTAAATTTAATATTTTTTGCATAAAATATTTTGAAAATTTTATCATTAATTGCTGTCTTGAATATTATGTAGGATCCAACCAATTTAAACATTGAATATTTAATGTTGTTCATCACACAGCAACACGCTGAGTCAATTATAGATAAATTCGTCGAGATTTTGAAAAATGATGAAGCGGGAGTATACACTGAAGATGATTTTGAAATCGTCAACGAAAATAATGGTTAGTATTCCGTTCAAGAATGACATGGTGATTATAGTTAATTCATAAATCAATACGTTTCTTTATTCATAGAATCGGTTTCTGAATCAGTTTCAACGGAATCATCTTTCTCAGATGAAGTGGCAAGAAAATACTTAAATTTACCAAAGTTGCGCATAAGATTATGTGGCGATTCAAAAAATTATTATATTAAAATCGGCATTGATACTCGTAGCGGCAGGATCTTTATTGAAGATGAGAATCAAGGAATAGAACATGGTAAAAATTTAATTATTTAATTTATTAAGGATTTCTAGTGAAAATTTTATTGTTTATCATTTTCTTATATTATTTATATTTTTAGATAAACTTAAATGTTGTATGAACCGACTTAGCTACGATCACAATTGTCTCATTGAGATACTTATAATGTTGAGATTTGTTGTAATGATTCCTCGACTTGAATCAACGGCTAGAAAACTTTTCCTTGATGTTCCTCGAGAAATTATCTTAGACCCAGACGAAAGAAGCAAGTTATATACAAATCAACATTTAATCTTGGAATTTTATGACGTTAAAGACTTTGGTAAAATGCTTTCGCATAAGGTTATTCCTGATAAAGGGTATTATCTTATTGCAGGAATGGTGGCAAATGGTATAGTTTATAATCTGGCCACCTTTAGGTATTTAAAATTTTTTAAATTCCGTTATTTTATCTGATGTTAGATTAATATATAAATATACATATCTCTATCTTTTCAAATGATAAAGTCGTCTGCCTCCAACAAAAAAATATTATCTCGAACCTACCATTAAGGAGCCAACGCATCGAATAACTTCAATTCAAACGATTCGATTAGGAAATACGTTATTTGATAAAAAATCAAAATTAGTTGATCTCTTAGAAAAACCATCTCGACAATGCCCGAGATATTCGAATTTATCTGGTCATACTCGTAAGCGGAGTTTTGATAAGATGAACGAAGATGAAATAGTTTCATCGCTACCGCGATCAACAAAAAGGACATTTGAAATATCGGAAACAAATTTTGACACGTATGGTTTAATATGAAACAGTTTTAATTTATTTATCGTTACTAATACGGAACGATTATCTAACTTTCCAATAACCTTATTTAGGTCTGCGGTTGAAGAACTTTTACTTGCAAGAATTGTGGCAATAGCTCGGTATGTATATATCTATCACAATTGGATACATCTTTGTTAATTATACTTATTAATGTCATTATTGTTGTAAATTAAAAGAGCCCGCATAGATTACGAGAAAGTAGAAGTTTGTTTTAATGAAAAAGAAGTAAAATTAGAACCAGTCAGAATCAATGAACAAATAAAGACCATTAAGCGTTTGTCACCTGAGGTTGATTTTGATAAAGAAATCAATAAGTCATTGAATTTTCTCGACTCGAACGCTCCTTTATCGCTGTCTACTACAATACCTACTTTCAAGATTAACATAAGGTCCTTGTTGGCAAGATTTCCTAGGGCAAATGATTTTTGCTTGAATATATTCAGTGACGTTTTTGTACGTCTTGCCGGTGCACGTTTAACAAAAACAACCAATCCAGAGGCAAGTTTATTGATATTTTTCTATTATTATTTATAAAATTTGGGGATCTAACAACAGTCTTTTCCTTGCATTAGGTAATTTTAACTACTTGTCTGCAATCTAGATATTTACCGAGGATGGTTGATGTGTTCTTACATAGTTAGTAATTTCGTTTTATATGCTTTACCATAAGGATTAATGTGATTTTAAAATATACTCTTTAACACTTTTTCTTCTTTTACTTTAAATACGATAGCCAATATTACCTACGATCAGCCATCAGGAATTTTAACTTTCAGATATGATTATAATAGCATGAAGAACTTTGTGGATACATTCCTTGAAAATTTTGAAGAGATCGTTATGGTGACACAGGCAGCCTGCGAGTGTAAGCGTATATTGGGTGATAAGAAAAGATCTGATATTAATATACTCAACTTTGATTTTGATACGCTTAAATTACAGTATTTTCCGGTAAATAATATAAATATTTTTCAATGCCTTTAAGATTGTATATTTATTTATGATTTCTCTTGTGATAATAGTATGGCGCCGATATAAGCTGGCGTAGTAATGAATACACTTTGATTTTACACGATCTCGCGACAGAATATTATACAAAAAATGGCTCATATAATCCACACAAGGACAAGTTATTTGCATTCTTACAAGAGGAGTTAAATTCTTCGTATGTTCATAACTTCAACAGATTTATCGATGTAAGTAAATTATTTATACACCTTTTATTATTATCAATGATATATAATATTAATTGTTACTTGATTACGTTGGTTTATATAGAGTTTGAGAATTATCCCTTCCGTAGTTCAAGTCCTCGATAGTCTTTCAACAAAGGACAATTATTCCTGTGAACTACAAGTAATTCCCAAAGGTGCGATCAAGTTCCACCTTATCTGGGGCTACAGGTATATAAAAACTTTTCTGTTATTTAAAGCTTACATTAAATTTGAAAAAATTTACCAGCTAGTTATAAATGTTATTACAGCATCCCACCAAACGGACAAAAAACTTGGTGTGGAATGGATATCAGTTTTATACAGACTGATGATGATTCTTATTTCTTTGCGTCTGATCTCACTAACCTAAAAGAATATCAATCTCTTAAACCCGAGATGATGCCCATATGGCAAGCATTTGGGCAAGATTTCATTAAGCAGGAAGCAGGGCTCAAAAAGGTTGAGATGTTGTCATCGGGGTTTACGAGTCCCGTCAATGTCAACTTTGAAAAAATAATGAAATGGATTGATGAAAATGTTCGAAAGCGAGTTCCTTTGAGTCGCACATAGAGACTTTAGTGTAAACGTCATGCATCAAATTTTTGTATATACAATATATAATATATTTGCTTTAGACTTCCTGCATGTAAATAAAAAAAAAAAAACTTATAAATCATAATCACAGTAATAATTTATAATTAATTAATTAATAACGATAATAAAATCCTTTGATATTATTTCATTAACTATTTTTATTATTTTTATCACAAAATTTATTTAATTAAATCTAATATGATTTACCACTTGACATGAATACGAGAATTTTTTCCATGGTTAAATCTTGTTTAATATCAATATTCTCCGCATCATCACTTTTATCTAAACCAATATTATCATCTAATCTTTTTTTATGATTAATATCACCTAAAATATTTTCACAAATTTCAGCAGCAGTAGTAGCAATAAAGTCATGTTCTTTATATCTTCTATCCCACTCGTCAAATAATTTATCCCATTTATTATCGTCATCATTCTTTTTAGTTTCTAATTCTAGATTTAATAAATTTTCCTGTGAAGAAATCTCGTGTTTAATTTCTTCTTCTAAATTTTCAATTTCGGGTCTTTGTTTTGTACGTAATAATGTAATAAAAATTTGTTCCAATTCAACAGGAGGAGCATCTTTTGGGTGTAAAATGTTTTTACGTAAATTTGAATCGATAAAAGTATTTGATAGACCAGTATGTTTTGATAAAAATATATTAAATCTATTCAAATAATCAACCCTTAGTATAAACATAAAATTGTAGAATGGTCATAAAATATATAAATTAAAAAAAAAGAATCCAAAAAAATAAATGTTTTTAGTTTTTACGCTACTAACTTACCAACTTATTGAATTAGGTTCTTCTGCAGTAGCTAGAAATTCTAAAAATTCAGCTTGAGCACCATTAACTTGTATCATTCTTGACCTAACAACTTCAATTTGATCGATATTTAACATTGCACCTGATGGAATTCCCGACATAATTTTTTGTAGTCAAAAAAAAGAAAGTGAAAAATGAAATTTAAATTTTTTTAAATTATTTATATTAAATTGCCATATACGGTGTGTTTTTGAAGATCGTCATACGAACCTCCTACCTTCATGGAACAACAACTGAAGACTGAATTGAAGACTGAATTAGATCTTGATGATATAGTTAATATCGAATCCATGTAAGTTTGTCGCTAAAGTATTAAAAACCCATTAATTTCTTTTTATATTTTAACTCCTTTTATGTCATTTTATAGGTTTATAGAGTTTGGTAGAGAAGATGGAATAAAAGAAGGAATAAAATCAGGAAAATTTGAAGGTCATATACTAGGTTGTGAAAAAGGTTATGAAATATCACAAGAAATTGGATTTTATGATGGTGTAGCTGAAATGTGGTTAAAAATACTTGTTGATAAAAGATGGGATATAACTAAAAAGTCAATAAATGAAAGGTATTTAAATTTTATTTTATTATCATCCTTCTATTACCTATAAAATAACTCAATTTTATTATTGTTAAACTTGTAGAATAGTGAAACAATTAATATCATTAAGAGAAATAATTTCATTATTTCCAAAAGAAAATCAACAAAATATTGAATTTATAGAATTATTAAATAAAATTAGGTCAAAATACAAGGTTTGTATTTCTTTATTAGGTGTAACTAAATTTCAAAAATTTAAAAGAACAATTGATGATAATGTAAAAAATGAAAATATTTAATAAAATAATATTAATAATTATAATTTTAATTTTATCTTCTGTTACTTTTTGAATTTTAAAAATTATAAGTTATTAAATAAAATTTTTTTATTAATAAAATATAAAAAGTAATATTTTTTTAAAATATACTTTTTATATCATTACTAACATTATTAATATCATAACTATCAATAATAATATTATTATTATTACTAATATTATATTTATTATCATTATTAATACTAATAATACTGATGTTAATGTTATTGTTACAGTCAGATTTTTTAAAGTGCTTATAAGTAATAAGCAGTATGATAATTTTAAATGGTAAGCAGAAGATTGATTTTATAATTGATTTAGAAGTAATAGTAAACAATTTATTTAACAATTATAACAAATAAGTATTATTTCAGTTGATATTCTGTATTATACAAATGTGTTAGGAAAATTAAAGTAAATTATCTAAAGAAATTCTTATTCTGATACAAAATACAAAGCATTTACTAAGCTAAAAGAAAACTTTTTCTATTTATATAAAATAAAATACATAAAATTATTGATATAATAAAGAAATAAAAATACTAAATAAAATAAATATAATATATAAAATAAAATATATAAAAGAATAAATAAAATAGAAGTAATAAATAAGATAAATGATATAAATAATCCAAATGACCTAGATGACATTTATGACATTTATGATTTCTTTTAGATCATCATTATCTAAATCATTATCATCAATATTTTCTTTTATATAATACTATCATTATCGTTAATACTATTATTACTATTAATAATGTTAATAATGCTACTATTTAAAATTAAAATTATTATTAAAATTAAAACTATTACTAAATACAAGTAAGAAATTTATTTTAATTTTAAATAATTTTTATCTATTTTATTATTTTTATATTTAAATTATAAAAAACTAAATTTTTTAATAAAAAACAAAAGTTTCAAATATTTATACTTGAATTTTATTTAATTTATATGATTAATATCTAAAAAAAAATAATAATATAACTATTATTAAAAATGAAATTATTACTAATAATAATATTATAACTATAAATAATTTTATTTAATTTTTTGATAATTATTTAAATAATATAAAATTTATTATTTTAATTTATAAAATAATATTTAATTTTTAATTAAATTTATTAAATATCAAAAAATAAAATAAAAATTTATTAAAAAATATCATAAAATCTTTTTCTGATTTTTTAAATATTAACTGGTAATTTAGAAATAGTTTTCTTTTAGCTTAGTAAATGCTTTGTATTTTGTATCAGAATAAGAATTTCTTTAGATAATTTACTT